CGCTAGTAGCTCAGAACTGAAATGCCAACAATTGTTGCACTATCAGAAGAACTAATTCAGGAGGTAATTTGTCTTGAGAAATCCAGCTGTTAATGCTCTACTAAATGCTACTAAATGCACTTCAAACCAAATCCTGGATACTGTATTAATCTAGTACATCACTTCCGTTTGTTTTCATTGATCCATGGTCCAATTTCCAGTAGCAACGATCCCGAAATTTTATATCTCAATATCTTGGAGTCATCAGACTCTGTGACCACTTTGTTCAAAACCAGTTAGTTCGGTCGTTCGAGTCACTATGAGCACCTCTGAATCAATGTAGAAATTTGTGTTCCCTAACTTGCTTCTCCTAAGAGACATATATTTCCCTGAAGCCCCGAAACGTAGGTTTTGTTTTGAAATAAATACACCATACTTAACCTGTTCTGCTATGTATTTGTTGAACGGTAGATAGCTTATGGACATCGTATGGTTCAGCCACGATAGATGTATGCCTATACTTCTCAGCGCGTTAATTATCTAACAGGAAGCACCTGGAACAGAAAAACTGGCGAGGTGTGGAGTGGTTCCACTAATGATCCCATTCATCGTCGCGTCTCGTAACGCCAGAACGACCACAGCCCATGCTGTTTCGCACTACTTCCACAGAAAGTTCCTCTAACTCAGGCCACATAACAGAGTAACAAGTCCCTGATCCTATTAAATGTTACACAGTCAAGGGAATGCTCCTAAAGCAGGTTTGATAAATAGTTGTTTTGGTTAGGAAAGCTCTTTCACTGAGCACAGTGAAGTTATCAGTAGCTAGCAGGTTAACGGAAAGTCGGGGTCTGAGCCTACTTGCTGAGCCCAAAGAAAGGCAGAAGCAGATGACCGTCTATCGTAAATGATCGTTTGATTACTTGGCCTGATCGGTCATTTCGATGACGTAGCCACTGACTACTCAGGGTACGGGTGATTACTGCGTGTGGCCTGTCCGACGTGTGCAGTTCGACTCGTCCTTTCGGGTCCGTAGTTTTTTTCTGGACCGGCTGACCAGTCCGTATGACAGTTGATTCCCTTTACATAGTATGCTTCATATGATGGCCCGCTGTTTGCAGAAGCGCATAGTTTGGATCGGTTTTTATGGGCCGAATTAGTAAACCAGTGATGGAGAATATTGTTTCTGTTATTTCTTTTGGTGGTCTGAAATTTACAAGCGTTGCGGCTGGAAATCCTATCCTTCTTGCCGCTCTCGCACTGAAGCCAGAATAGCCAAAACGTCTTCTGAATACTACATTGTGCTGGTGTAACGGTGATACTACTGATGGGGAGGCGCGCTAGTGGTATATGTTGCTCGTAGAATTTCGCTTTGCGTCTATTGAAAAAGGGAGATCTGTTGCGGAATTCGTGGAGCCACTTTGTAACATTTGCTTGTATTTGACCGACGAATGAGTGGAGTCAATGTATCTCCAGGAAAGTTCACGAAGACTCGTTCGGTAGAAAACGGGTGTCCAGTTTTTGTAACTAAGATGCAAATTAGAGTTTTGCTTCCATGTTCAATGGTCTGTAACCGGTAAGTTGGCATTTCCGAATAAATAACTCCTCAATGAATGCCTTCTTCCTTTCACTGTTAGTTTTCACCCGATCTTCCTACGGCAGATTTGGCAAACAAAGCAGTCCATACCGTGCGAGGTGGAATTATTCAGAGTGCGCTTCAATTCGGCTTCCGCCGGTTTACACAGAGTCTCATAACATTATGTTCATACGGCATAGAGCTTCACGTCAGGTTTCCTCATCCTAATTGTGGGGATATTGCTGGGGATGATGAATTCACACCACCCACGTTTTTTTTTTTCAAAAGAAAATCGAATCTTTTATCCCTGGCCTATTCCCTGTTCTTTCTTCAGTCCCCAAAGCAAACTCGTTGTTCCTACCTTCCACCAGTTTGAAAACGTACGCCCAAAGTTCAGACACGGAAACACCCCAATGAACATCAGTCATTCTTTGCAGTCGTCCCGGTTAGACTTTTCAGGAGAATATTCCCCAACCATAGAGAATAGTTCATCAAACTCCACGAAACATGACCAATTCTGAATCACTTCAGTCTCTCCGACTGTGGGGAATTAATTTTGGACATGCAATATTAACACTGCTTCCAAAACAATAATACACCGCTCTCACCGTTTGTTCAGGCCGTACACAACCGTATTAGCTACCCAGTACAGTTGGTTTGTTTGCAGCGTACGGATCACTGTTGTGAAAAGGGCAATTTCTTATCGACCTATTAATAACGTGAATGTACCAGATAATCTATGCAGACGACTTTAGGTGTCAAAAAAGCTGACCGAATGACAGCTGTTCAAGTCTGTACCCTTGCAACCATGATTTCTCACTAAAACCCATGTAACTGAAGAAGGCACCCACACACACTGCACAGTAACTGGCGCGGAGTGATGATATCCCCAACTTGCTTATTTTGCTTTCAATACTATTCATTTAAGTCACTTTTAGGAGTGTTTTTAAACAATTATGCAATCATCCATCTCAGTGTTGGGTACGCTTTGGTGACGCCCATAGCTATTGAACCTCATTTATTGTGTTGCTCCAGTTTAATGAACATTCAGGGAAAGAATACATAGGGTGTGGTCATCGGCTTGATAGACAGTCTTTTAAAAGTCATGCTATAGGGTTCTAGAAACTCCAAACAACTCTAATGTTCTGAATAATTTAGACGGAATTTATAAATTTATCTCATTCATCAACCACATGAGTAGCAATGAAACATTATGACAAACTGAATGCAGTCCCAAATGAAACATGGTGTAGACTTTGTACAGCAACTTGACTCAAAACACACCATAGACAGGAGATTCAGGTAGGTGTTAGAGCAATCACCGATGAGCACCAAATTAAATCGCAAATAAGTGTTTATCTCAGCAGACACATAATCTGACACTTGAGCAGTGAAGAAAGCTGATGGAGATATGGTGGCTGAGTCCACTGGATACGTTCCGAAATATGCGAAACCTTGGTTAATGCAACATTTTTTGGAGAATAACAAAAGTTTGGAGCAGAAAATTCTCACACAAAACTCAAAAATAGTGTGTAGTATTAGATACTTTCAGAGCAATCATTGTTCTAGACGTAACATCATTAATGCTGTGTTATACCACGAATATCGTACATTCCCGGACAAGCAATATTTTTCACTCCAAAACTGCTCAATTCTCAAAGGGGTGAAATGCACTCAACAATATTGTCGGGGGGACAGTCTAAGAGTGTCATACTATCGCGAGAGTGGCACTCTGGGTCGTGAATGGATATTTGTTTCTGCATTTGAACCAAAAAAATTTAGTGTTGAATTGATGGACACTTGCAACTATCTGCTCTGCAAATATGTGCGTACGATAGCAAAAGGCCTGTTGGCGGTGGATTTTGTGCTAAGGCAGCTGGGAGAAATAAATAGTCACGGGAATAACTTCCTGTCGTCAATGCTGCTGATAAGTCACACGTTTCATTGATGAGAAACTCAGTTGACCAGTCCAATGTACTTCTTACTTCACCAATATGTTGTAGACGTTAGTAACCGACAAAGTTCGACTGCTGCTCATGATGACAACCGGCTGTCAGATTCACTATAACACAAATGAAACAAATAGTATAAAGCCACGTAAACATCCGATAATATAGGGGATTCAGCATCGTCGCATTTACTTTATTTTGAGGCTCGATATATGTAACGTGCACTTGAATACTGCTTCTTTCTCGAGCTAAGTGGAGTGATTTTTATAATCTTTGAATCGCTCGTGAAAAATTCAGCCTTGTAGGAAGGAGTACGAGACACCTAGTAACCAGATAGTTTTACGAACTATTTTAGATTAGACATCAACTAGTGCTGCCAACATAAGTAATACAAGTGAGTGAACATTTTATAAAAGTGTCCAGATGCGGTTTCCAATATATCAGTTCACTAGAATGGTTTAGAGAGTAGTTATTACTTTGGCTTTCCAAGGCAAATTTTACGTTTTCACTTCGGGTTTTTTGGCGATGCGAGAGGGTGATGGCAATGGGCTTACAGCACCTTTTGGAAGATTCTGGAACGACAAATCGAGTCATCCAGAAAGGCTAATTCATGCCGATTAAAGGAAACACTATCGCGTTTGTCGCCTGCATGATCTGGGAAGTTCCATTACACAACGAATATCTAGCCACTATTAGAGGTAGGTATTGTGTAGCGTCACCCGTAGAGTTTCCGTGACTCTCGTAAAAAAATACGTAATGAACCGTACGCTGCATCTTGACATCAAGTGGAATTTACAACTGAAGTATACCCTAAACTGTGAAGCACCTAAGTTTCCGCCCGCGGAAGGCAGTTCCTGTGATGGTTTCTACGGTTAGGCCAAATTGGAATAACAGGCTATGAAAACATCGTCAGCATACAGTCAACAGGGTGTTCGATGTCGGAGATGTCATGCTTGGTTTTTCTGGCGTTAGACTAGTGCACTCGCGAATGTCTAACCTTCCTGGATGTTTTAATGACCGGACGTCTCAAGGGGGGCTACACTACATGGAGTGATCAACATCACACCGACCATCGGGCAACTGGGTTTGGTAGGAACCCTATTGGAGCCAAGACACGCACCAGAGATAGACTACCAGACTAACCATCCGCGTCCCAAGATTGAAAGCTACGAAAGGGCTGCAATTTGCCGTCAACCCACGACTACAACTGTATGAGCACCCACGTACTACATCGGATAACTCCTGGTTATTGAGGGAAAATCAATCAAAATTCATCAAATAACCGACAATAAAAGGTAAACGGCTGCACATTGAACGCCAACCAGCGAGTGCGGAACGATTCTCTCAATATTAAACACTATGTAGTGATGCCGAGCAGACAGCGACACAAAAAGCTAATCCATCAGAGATAATGGGAACGTCCACATCCCTCGTCTATCCTCATTGTGGACGAAACGCAAACCCACCCATTTCCCCCTGAGACGTGGCAACACACGAAGGGTAGTATTGAAAAATTAAATTTATTATTTTCTGCATTTAAATGAGGACGGCATACGAAAAGTAATCGATCATCCTATCGAGACCCTCTGATTGTCGGTTCACATATGGCGACAGACTGTGAATGCGACGACATTGGTGCCAACATTCATCCACACATATCCTTGTGTAAATAGTACCAGGCGCGAAGAGGAAAACGGAAACCAAATAGACACACATGCCTAAGTGTTACCCGCAGCTGAAAGTTTACAATATAGTTCTGCGCGTGTCTGTGTCGGACAGAAAGCGAAATCGAGCAAAGTCAAAAACCATTTTCTCCAATAAAAAGCAAGGGAAGCACTTAGCGTGACCTCTGATGGAGGATGATGACCAACGACAGTCTACGGACAGGCCATGAGTCAGTAAACTGACTAAGCACTCGAGCCAAATTGCACTTTGGATGGGATACATAAATCCAAAAGTGGACGGTGAATAAGAGGGTGTTGATCACAAGCACACGCTATCCGCTAGATGGCAGTTAGAAAAAAGGAGGCATGCATGTACAATTGTAAATGCCGAGTGGCTCGAGAATTCAAGACGAAATAGTGCTCAAATTCAAACAGGTAGGACTAGGACGCCAGGCAAGGTTGTACGAACCGGACCGTGTCTGAGGGCTGAACTGAGAGCAAGGTGTTGGTCGACCGGGCAAGAAAAAAAGGCTGTGATGCAGTGAGCTGCCGGAAATCGAATAAACGTGGATGATGGTCAAAAATAGGTAGCGAGGAAGTCCAAGCGTGGAAGCGAATCTGCCAGAGAGGAAACTCCAGAAGCAAATGGAAGACGAACGAAATAAACGGACGGTTCCAGAACACAGATCAATGAAGACCAATGAAAGCGGGTAGACTAGGTGTCATGGACACAACAATGCAAAAGGTTGGAGCTGAGAATGACCAGAAACGGTCTTGACGTGATCGAGTGGATGCTGGAGATGGAGAATAAACACGCGCTTAGGATGTGGTCAGAGAAAATAAACCACAAAGCTGTACTCCACGCGAACTGGCGAAACGGGGTTCACAGCGCAGAATGCGATAGGAAGAAACGGGAATGGATAAGGCAAATACTACATCAGAAACGAATAAGCGGAGGGATTGGCATATGTCGAAGAATCGTCAATCGGACCGATCCCACTATAACCATGAGCACGACTATAAACCGTGCGTCTGTCCAGCCGTCGTGCTGATGTTAGCGACCACAGTCAGAACACATAATCATATCGTCACTGGTAAGGAATCCCCGACCAACCAGGTTGCAGTTGCACTTGCCGCATAAGAAGCACTCAGAATGCCAGTGACGGTCCTCAAAAGAAATGAACTTGCATCCACCGAAGCCTAAAAATGAGGTTTCAGTAGAAGAATCAGGTAAGAACAAAAATGGCGCGTAACTGGATGGAAAAGGCCAGAAAACTATCCGCATGCTGGATGAAAGCAAGTGACGTTCGCTCGACATATTCGAACACAGATCTCGTTACAAAAACGAAGCAACGGTGGCGCTTTTCTCCGTTTCCATACTACTTATAAGGTCAATGAAAACTCTTCGACAATCCACAACGGGTTTTACCCTTCTTCGGGCACTCAGGTAGACCCAGTCAACCTTATGTTCTACTTGAACTTAAAATCCACTAGATATCTGCAAAATATACTCATTTACAGACTTATTTGGTCCTAACGAGAGACCCACTTGTATGACAACTAAAACCCTAGTTTATGATATTCCGCAACTGAATGTAATGCATTAAGGCCGTCTCATGTACCGGTTGGTGCGATAGTCAAGGTATCAAAGTATGTTTCAGTACCAAGCGATGGAAACCATGGACGGCTCACCACAGGCTACAATAGGTAAGCCTAATCCTCAAACTTAAAATAACCTTGCCTTGGAAACCGAATCGTCGTAACTCTCTGCTTTCATGTGGTATTGAACCTCTTGGCCGTAGAACTACGGTGGTTACTAAGTGCGAAAACAGGATGCGATCCAAACAACAGACTGCGGAATGCTCTCGAAAGTTGCCAACGATTAGAGTAAAAACCGCACAGCGCTTGCTGAGCAAAAAGAACGTTGTAATTCTCAAACGTAGCAAAACTGCGTCAGTGACGCTCCACGACTTTGAAAACCCTCGAAGTCAAATCATGCGGATTCAGGACCCAACAGGATGTAGTATCACCTTCACGAAAATCGACCGAGGGTATTTGACTGAGTGACCCGAATCCACTACTACCGAACTGTTACCATCCGTCGAGATTACGGAGTATTTTTGCAGTTTTCGGCCATATTAGTGAAGCGACACAGCTACAGGATTTATTACCGATTGTTGTAAGTCGTACTGTTCGATCATGGGCCACATGAGTTGCATGAAATCATACATGAATAGGCTACTGAATCAATTAATGTAATGTAAAATGCATCACCCATCAAAGCGTTGGAGAGATAACGAACACACAAGACAATGAACTCAATGGATGTGCGAACCAAGTATCCTGGTGACGAGCTAACCAACACGCCTACTGACAACAGTTGGTTCCGACAATGAATCCAACCATCTGGCTGTTGAGAATCCCGTGCGAATATGCTCAGTGGTGAACTGTACGATTGAGAACAAGTGATCTTCACACATTCCACAGAAACACCCGCGCCTAGCGTCTGGTTCTGTCAAGTACTTCATACCGTCCCCGATCAAACAGAGAGGAAATATGTGCCAAAATATACCCAACACTAGTTCTAGAACGAACGGACCTCCCTAGCTTTAACGAGCACGCAAATGAGCTAGAAACATTGAGACCACATAAACACCGGAAAACAATTGTGTAGCCTAGCTAAACAGTTAACTGAGATTAACTGGTTCACGTGTAATAGAACAAACGGCACACACCAGTGATAGGCTTTGTGCACTTAGTGCACTTCTTTGCAAACAGCTCTCCGTAACAGTCTGCGCAGTATGGTTGTTCATCCTTCGAGGTGAACTTGAGACCTGCCAATTGTTTTGTACAGTTTGTACAGGTGAAGCACTCCTTGTGCCACGGGTTGCCCTTGTAGGTCACACCACCGCGACGGATAACCTATGAGAAACAAATATATGGGAGGGGTAAGTAAGCCAATGTCAATGAAGAACGAAGAGGTACAACAATAATCCCGAAAAGCAGCTATCGCTTTACGAGAGAAAAAATCGCGGTACAGTGAGTAAAACAGTGAAGTAACTGGAGGTATACGTGGAATTCCGGACACAATGCCGATAAAATTCGGCAACAACCGAACGACCTGACCCATTAGTTAATTAGTAAGACCGAAGCAGAGATGCGCTAACGCACACCATGCTATCCAAACTATCGTGCACCTGACACTGGCGCATCAAAATTGTAACCCCCACTCACCTTCAGAGTTTCAAATCGTTAAGCGAAAGGGCTACTTGAAATACTGTTAGTTCGGAGGATCTTTAGAAAGCATTTTTTCGCTCTACTTAAATAATCACTCCAGCTGCAATCCTATGGCAACCTGTTACTGCCCACACCCAACATCGTTTCTCTCAATGTTGCATTCAACGATGAAGTCGCAAACAATAGGGAGGTTGGGGGCAAGAACACTATGAGCTTTTGCGATGCTGTTTAATGAGTAAGGGACTAACAATAATGAGCCCCGATAACCATGCACATTGAGTGAAGGTGAGAACAATGACAATCAAATGAAGTTGCAGACTGTTGGCTCCGGTTCCTCTTGCATCCCCTAGCAAACACATTATCAGCCTGCTGAAGTTAAGCAGTATTGTGATAAAATAAGGTGAACCGTGATCATTCCTTTTGTAAGATATTTTCTGCACCTCAGTAGTAAACTTTCCGGTTCACTGCTGAACGCAATAGGCCAGATGTGGGCTCCTCTATGGAGTAAGCGAGTTCCGCTTCTCACCTCAAATATCCACTGTCTGGGAGTACTATATATTGGTATCAATCCCGATCCAGGTTGAGGTGAGAAAAACCGAACTGTCTCAACGTTGAGTACGTGGTTATCGGACGCGTTGCATACACTATCCTTCTTGATAACAATACGTGCTAGAAACGGTTTTTTCCCTGTCATGCAACCGTGGATCACGTATAACATGCACGACAAACTACTCCTCCTATGTGGTCGGGACAGTGCACGATACGAATGCACCAAAATGTGACTCTACCAGATCCTGACTGATAAGACCTTCAATTCGATATCCGAACCATGGATTTTTGATTTTAGTGTGGGACTTCGTGTCAGAATGGAGGAAGGAAACAAGCCGAAAAGACGCCAAAACTATAAGATTTGATTTGATGAATCCACTTATTGACACCTCGGTTGCATCACCCCTTCCACGATAATGAAAATGGAGCTGGTACACATAACGCTGCCAAAGACCACATTACAATTAATGAGTTAATGATCTAAGTTGACAGGCAGAACGGGATGATGTGATCTTGGAAAGGGAAAACCAGAGAGCGTGATGCTCGAAAACGAGATATGGGAAACTCGGGAAAATGTGAAGCAACGGGTCGCTTACTTCTGAGCACTTTGTACATCTTTGAGCATACTTTGCCTCATAGCAAGGAACACAGACCACTTGATTCTCTCGGGGGATGAAACTCTTGGCACCGATTGGTTGTTTACATTCTACGCATAGGAAACATTCCTCGTGCCATTGCTGGCCTCGATATTCGTATTTCCGCATCCCAGCTTTGAACACGCCTTGGCAGCCATCACAGCGGGCAGCAAAGCGCTCATCGTAGCAGTCAGAACAATATAGTTGTTCTTCTTTTGTAGCAAACGGGCGATCGGCTAAGGAAGTGGCACACGCCGAACATTTGAAGCATTTCTCGTGCCAGTGCCGTTCTTTGAAGGACAAATCCTATAAAAGTGGGACAGAGACAGAATAGAAACAGTACTCTAGGAGGACAACATGCAAAGAACACAAATGTGCACAACAAAATTACTAGAATACGCCAGCTCAAGCATCGGTCGTGACAAAGAGACAACGAAAAAGCAGAACGCTAAAGTATGATGAGTCGGTTAACGCACCACATGCAGAGTCGACGGTCTTTGAAGAAAAACTTTATTTGCCTTCATTTATACACAAAGTAGACAGAAGATATGAATAGGACAACCCACTCTCAAATACTCCTGCCCTCTGAACATTGGCAATTCAAAAATCAAACTGATGGCCGTTGTGTTGACTGACCAGGAGGGGCTACAGCTACAAACCTTAAATAGTTGCATTATGCATCAAGCCATATCCAGATTAAAGCATGTTTTTTCTTTATTCCATATACGTCATCGATACTCACCCCATTAGTATAGCCTGCAACAAGATGTAAATGCCTCAATTGATCAACTGACGAACGTTAGATATATCGCTTTCGATCTACGTGATTAAGTTAGGGGTGGTCCACTGAATCGAACCTATCGATAACGGTTGCACAGAATTAGTCGGTCAGTTTTTCGAAGTATCTGAGTGTGAATACAAGGGTCAGCACGAATGTTGTCTACTAATTCCAGCGTTGAGTTGCCGACGATAAATAATCAGTGGGTTATCACTGCTCAAAATTTCGACCAACTCGGACAACCTTCATCAAGAGTGAAGCAACTGAAACCACTCGGACTGTGTTTTGAGTTTCCCAAAGCCATTAACCCCTGAGTCAAGGAGGCGGCACCAAGAAAAAGGCTCATGATTTAGAAGAGATAAAAATGCAGCGCCTAGTACAGAGGTGGATGGCTAACAACTCACTTGGTCTGGGTCTCTGGGTAAGACAGTGGAACAACTGATGAGCTATTTTCTAGACTTGACACAGGTTGAAGAAGGTACCATGACTCACTCTGAACCGGGTGCCAAACGCAAGACGGAGTAAAATGGGGCGAATAAATAACCCAAGTTCAACCTACACACTTTAGTTAGATCACTGGTGGAAAAACTTAAGTTTACGAAATTCACTGAAATCGACCGACCTGTGGTGGCCTGGGCTTCAATCCTTGTTGCTGAGACTAATCAACAAGCTTTGTTAAATGAGGAAAAACTCAGAGCTGACATGACATTTTTCAAAAAATTATGCATCCAGTAGATGGTGCTATTGTACTGATCGGCCAAGCTGACAAATAGCTGACAAAATAGCCCTCAGTAACAGCCGAGTATCAGTTATCATAGAAGCGCGATTTTGGCGAAATTAAATACGTCTGCAGCAATATGGAGGGCGATATACGTGGCTAGCCACTGATCCCACAGTGCTTAGGAGAACAACGCAAAAGTCGTAAACCTGGAGCCAGAACAAAAGTGTGCCCTAAACTGCAAATTGGTTGCAACGACAACTTAGTGTACCTAAAACACAACCTTGCTCCGGCCTCTACCCCAAGCTAGCCTACGCACCCACAATAGCAAGTTACTTCTAAGCGCGATTATCCTTTTCCAGTTCGCAGACTGCATGTAGAGGATGTTGGCTTGGTGAGAATTTCTCACATATCGGTGAGGACGCGAAAAAATACCAGCTCCTGCAAACCAACCACGCACGAACTAACCGACACGGACTGACGCTAAGAGCAGCTACACGTGGTAGTTACAAAACCGCCATATGACTTTAATCGTGGATTAAGAACTCAAGTCCCCGATGCTGTAACGCAAATCGTGGCTGGCCAGTGCATCACACCTACAACGCCTCTGTAAACAAAAGTACGGTAAACTGTGGGTGGAACATCGGTAGATAGAGACAAGCTCGGAATACAAACTATACTCCGTTAAGGCCATGATATCCTAACTATTCAGGCATGAACGCTGAATAACTTAGGCTCGCGAACAAAACAAGTCTGAAGTGCTCAAAATAAGTAACTCAACAGCAGTGAAACGTAAATGGTGAAACAGAAAGATAACGAAAAGAGCCATGTGACCCCGATGGCGAACTGAATACAAGAGCCCACAACAGGTCACGACACTTCGAGCGTGCGACCCAAAACGACAGTAGCGTATAAAGACTGGTGTAGGTGTTGACGGAAGTGGTTGGGGACACAGTCGTATGTTCACCTGCCTCGATGGAATCACACTGTCATGCCAGCCGCAGCCGAAACACGAAGATGATGGGAAACAGTACATGGTAATCAGGACGGGAAAAACTAACTTTCGAAGGACACGGCTCAGATTTATGGTCTACATTGCAACGCCGTTTGGAATCGAGAATGAGGGACTTGATGCCTGCATTAGAAGTGGTACCATCGGGTCCCTGATCCGAATAAGGAATATAAATAGGCAAGGCCAAATTGGAGTGAGCTTAGATCAAGTTGTAATATTGCTGAGAACCATCGTCCAGCCTCCTTTTGTGGGAAAAAGGACTAACATAACTAATTCGAATCGGGAGTAAACCCCACACTAAATCTGTTGATAAAGCTTCACTACTCAGAAGCAACGAAATATAGGAAAACGTTTTAACCGAATAGAAATACTTAGCAAGCCGATTATTCCCATAAAACTAGGTTACTGTTTGCTTCAGCTTTGATACACCAATACAGTTAGCTACTTTGAGCAACTCATCCTGAACGCCTAGACTTCATGGCAGCATGCTACTACCGCAAAAACTGCTCACCTCACAAGGACTAATGAGTACTGCTTGTTTGGAACCTGCTTGACCCCAACGCGCGAGATACCGTTTGCCGGCCGTCGAATGTTAAACCCTCGTCGTATATTTCGCGTGAATGTTGACTGTCGAATCCAGGAGTTTAGCATTTCCTGGACAACTCGGAATAGCTAGGTGGACGAAAAAAGTCCAGTCTTCTTACGTAAGACACCACATGGATAACAGATTTCCAATCTAGTTTTATTGAAAGGAGACACTATCTTTTTTTCAGAGGGGTTTGGTAAACAATCGGTGCTGGGCAACGTTTCGCTTTTGACACTATCTTATTCACGGATTTCACAGTTCTACGGTTCTGGCTGATATTTTGGGATACGCTCCTCGATAACCGATAGATGTCGTATGCACGAGTGAAGCTGAGAAAACACTGGATGAATTCTCCTGAATACGTCAAACGTCGCCGTCTAATGGAATGATGCCATGGATGAAATTCACTACATAATTCAAACTAAATAAAGTTCGATTTAACATTCGTCTATGTGCCGAAGACGTGGCCGAAAATTTGCCTCAACCTCACGTGCACGTCAGAGTTCATGTGACTGCATGTCTGCTAAGTTGAGAATCCAGCTCAAATTGAAGAAAAATAATCTGAACGGTAGTTATACTGGGAATAGATAGAATTCATGAAAACTATTTCGCCGAGCCAAGTATCCGTCACGCTCCGGAATCAAAGCTCCATGAGGGTCGCGATCCACCGGACTAGTCAGTCTCTTGGTCCTTCAGATAAGAGGCAGAACACACGTGGCCAGTCATTATACAAATTACAGAGTACCTTAGTAAGCTCAGGACAGTAAATCTCCCGTCCAAGTTTGATTGATTTGCTGGTACCTTGTCTATCACACATGCATGAGCCACACTAACTTAAACCATCATTACTAAGATGTGACTCGCATTCCGAAAACGCATCCTGGAATTATATATCAAACACAGGGAATATTTGTGTATCAAATTTCAGCCTAATCTTGTACAGCTGGCTCCAACTGTCTACAATCCTATCCACTCATTACGGTGCAAGTACGCCAAGAAAGCACACTTTTACTACACTTCAGACTGCAAACTGATGCAGGTACGATCGGCATTTCTTTATACAACCAGCTCAGTTGTAGATGATTGATATCTATATTTATCAGACTGTACGAAGAAATGTGAATTCGATTTATTCAGTGTCTTGGATGAATGGAAACGGCGGTTACCTCTGGACTACTATGGCTTCACTTAGTGTTACAGTGTCACAAAGGACCCTTAAAAAACTTTCGTAGGTGATGAGGCAGGTCGACTAGAGACTACGGAATGAGCAGTACGCGACACCGTTCTTTGGTTGAAAAACAGTCATGTTTAGTAGAATACATTTCAATGATTGTATTAGAAAGCTAGACCTTGGCTTGGTAACCAGTGATATGCCGATTTGCCTCAGCCCTGCCCACATTCACTGCGATCACCTATGGCAATCATGGACACATACCGCTGTACAGCCCAATCAGTTACCGATTTTGCCGGTTCCCATAGAGCGGATATGCTGCGGTCTTGCACTTTCGGGAGAAGAAAACTGACCCGTCGGTCAGTTCGGATAGCGAACGAAAAACGGTACAACTGGGGTTGCAAGAGTAACTATCCTTGAGGCAGCTTGCGGCCGCTGGTTGGTGGAGATGTCGTTAAAGTGGAAGTATTCTGTACACGTTCGACTTCCATAAGTTGGAGTTCGTTGTAATTAGGCAACGATCTAAACAGTAAATTATCCCACAGCTATCAGGATCAGTATGTAATGATTAATTAACTGAAAAGGACTATGTGGGACAGCCGAACATCATCGTAGCCAATGGAAACATTATGCAAGCAATTCTGCCACACACCACGCAGAGAACTTACCTTAGAATCACAGCCGATTTTCTCCTTGCATTGCTCGCATGTGTTTGCAAACTTGGCTTCATAGCATCCCAAGCAATGCGGCTCATCATCACGAAGTATGTACCGCTGGCCCGTCAATGAAGCATCGCAACTGCGGCAAGCAAAATGTCCGGTATGGTGTTCTTGATCCATAGCACGGGTATATTCCTCAGAGAAAATGAGCTGTGTGACGAAACAGAAAATATAACACACAATCCAAAGCCAAAAAAGAAGACCACTTCAAGTAACGGCGCCAACCAAATAGAATAGAAAATCTGTATGTCATGCCACAATGATAATTCATATGTCGCTAAGAGAAGTGCTCTCCTTTGGTACCGCCAAGGCTTATCACAGACAGCGATATGACCAGGACAAATAACGTGCAACTGGACTGGGCTACAGAGCCTGATAAATGCACTAACATTTTGCCATTGTGATGCGCCTGTCAGTGATCATACGTGGACGGAATATAATACGAAAACAGAACTTCAACCGATAGAAAGGGTAGTATTGCGCTCCAAAAGTCTCAGGTGGCAAACTGTGAAAACCTATTTTCTCATAATCGTTTGTCATGAAAAACGGGGTGGTGATTTGAGGATTCCCGATTATTACCCGATTATTATTACAACATCCCGTCAATAACTAGGTCAGATATTGGTAGAAAGTATCACGAAAATGACGCAGTATACCAGATTAGTACGAATGTCATCAGTAACTCGTGGAATCACTCTCCATACTGCAAACTCTAATGGTGCTAAAAACTTCTGCCAGTGGCAAGCCAATTCGGTCAACCAAAATGCCCAGCCGGTAATTTTACAAATGAGTAATCCCTTCGTCTTGGGAACCAGGCCTACGTAATCCTCGGATGATACCCTCTATTCGTATGTGTGGAAAACCAGAAAACTTTCAGCACTTGGTAAACTAGTAGAAGACAGGAGAGAACTGTTCTTACCTTTTAATAAGGGTTTATGAAGACGCGCGGTCTATTCAGCAAGATTTGTGGCAACGGTTACGAAGCCCTGCACAATGCGGAGCAGCGTCTATGTATATCCGAAGTTGACCGACTGTGCGCGTGTGGCTGCGATAAGAAATTGACGGTTTTGTTTGCCACAATCCAAACACGTTCGACACACCCACCAATTTAAAAGGCAAATAGCCAGGGACCAGGGCAGTCGTGCGCATAAACGAAGGTCGATTGGTGAAGGGATAGAGGCCGTCGTCATCCACGCGCGTGCGAACGGTCGCGTATGTATGCAACAGCGCACGCATACACATGCAAGCGCAGCAGCACATTGGTAACAGAATGCCGCAGACAGACATGTCCTAACCAGACAGCAGTTGAGTGCACCAAGTAAGCCGGTGGAGCTGTCAAGTGGGAATGCTACAGGTATGGGCGAACAGCAGCTGCACGTTTACATTTCGGTCTTCGACCGACGGACGTGCAGATGAATGTTCACGGGGCAAAATATCCCATACATGGATATCTACCTCAGGTTAGCATTGCAACAAAAGCCGAATTGACTGTGAACGCGAAAGTACAATTATGGGTTCCTTGTGTTGCAACACCTGTACGTATCACTCAGATGACCGACCGTAAAAACATTCTCTCCTTCAACTGTAGCACTCTTTCGGTACCTAACTGCCACCAGAAGGAAGTACGAGGGCTGGGATACTGTCAGGTTGCTCAAGCCTGGCACCTGCCTCAGCGTTCGGTCACCCATAAACTCTGTGGACCACGTCTGAATTGTTCTACGTAAGTCTAATTCACTAAAACAAATTCGAACATCCATACGGAGAGTGTTTGATTGTTGTTTCAATAGCAAAATTACAGACGGGTTGGGCCAGTGCATTCTTACTGCTGACTTTTTCAGAGCACAAGCTAAATTGGCAGGACACTTTCGAAATCTCCTCGCTGTTGTTATTGTCACGTTGCTTCCATGACTGCTAACCGGTACTCCGACGTTTATCTGCTGACCATAGTTGAATATGAGTACTCGGCTTGATGTCGTAGACCACACAAAGGAAAAAAGATGAAGCCCTATTTCTTCACTTGGTAATCCAAATGATGTGTTTCTATCGGTGTAAGCGCGTGGAGCTCTATAGACTCAGAAAGCTCACTTCCACAGTGAATCAATGCTGGGTCAGCAAACCTGTAACTGTCACAGACATCGTTCCTCTCGATTCGGTGTTCGTTACGGAATGAAACCCATCGCGAACTCTGAAGCTGTTATCACGTTTCGAAGGCAGTTAGAACAATAGGGGTTTTACGGTCTACTATGACGATATCAGTCAGGTGAAGTGAGTGACCATAACCGATCATAGTAAGTGTTATCTGCATTAGCTCCATTTCAAACCATCACCTTACGCAGATATTCACTCCAAAGAACATTCGACGGGGAAAAAGTGACCCAAAGTCTTCCACATTGAGTATTTCTCTTTAGGGAGCACGAGCGATTCAACGGAACTATATTATACAAAGGTATACCAGGCAGTGAAACCATGGTAAAACTACCGTGTTAAACATCCTACCGATGGTGAAACTGCATTGAAATACCAGCCAGTCAAAACCTACGTCTCTACCCATAGGAGACATAGACAGATCTCGTGACACCATTATTTTTAGACAGTAATCAATACTGGTTTTCTAAATTTAGCATAGGATTAAGTCGGATGTATATCAAGTACCATTGAGGGTACAGGAAGATGTAACGACACAAGAAACTTGGGAATAACAGAGGAAGAGCGCCTAAGCCCTAAATATGAGTCGGTAATCAAAACTACCACCCCATACGGTAGGAGCATGCATAAGGAATCTAGGAGGAGCGTTGCGTTTTCATGTTATGGTATTTTGTTCCTCAATTACCTTCAGTAGCAATGACTGGTCTCTCTAACTAACGGAACTCCCCCGATGAGCCCATCTCTTATACGAACACATGATCGCGCGCAGTAGTCTGTTCTTCCTTTCATCAAACCTTGCATTTTTCGAGGTTATAACAGAAAAACCACTATACTGGAAATCACACAATATTGAACCCAAGTCGAGAAGGCACCTAATGATATTTCCCAATTGTTCAACACTACCTCAGATGCCAGTGCTATGATGGTTTACACGGCTGAGGAGTTATTTCCGCCCACCATCCATAATCTCTACCAGTGATATTAGGAAAAGGTTTTTCAGAAATAAACGGCGTCCGACACAAATAAATATTTCTGACAGAAGACCACTCCTAGCTAGACTAATTTGTTCCGGTTCTACGAAAACAACTACACCCGCAATAGGAGGTGGGAGATATCATTCCACTACAAATCACTTGCTCGCTAACTTAAGATACCTAAGCGAAGAAAACTGAGAGAACTGTACCGCACCTCCGTTTCAACTGGAAAGTCGTGTGAAGCCAGTACGCCTCTCCGACAGGTACCCAAACTCATATCTTACTCTGTCAGTTCATTTCTAAAACGCAAGTCATCGCAGACGCAGACTAAGACTTTTTGAAAACCTTGATGACTCGATTGACTCCGTTTTCTATTATTGACCGTCTCATTCAACAAGCATTTAAATTTCGCATGAACCATGTGACTTTACTAACCATCTAGACGGACGACTATCTTTTGGAGGGACAACTTCGTTTGGTGCGCGAGTGGCTCGTATTTCGCGAGAATGACTTCTAATCTAAACATCAGAATCCTGCTGAGTTTCAGCGATGCTTGACAGATGTGACAGTTCAATTACCAGAGTTAAATTGCAAAATCGGCGGTGTATCTCGGCCGCCCAGATAACAGCGTTTTACTACTAACACTACTAATTTCCCGACAGTAGGCAAAAACTAAAACAAACGGCAGTACTCACATGGTCGCACGTTGCGCATCGAGGGCGGATGAGCTGACCGTAGTGGCGCAGGCAGTACGGTCGACCGTTTGACCAGGCATAACAGTAATCGACAAGGTGCTCGGAGCAGGTAGCACAACGGAAACATCCTACGTGCCAAGCGGGTGCGACATCAGAAGCCTCGTTTGAAGGAGAGTTAGTCATAGCTTCCAGAGGTCGATGTTCTGGCCTTACGCGAATGCAGAAGTCACCGAATCCAATAGTTCCCAAGCAGTCGGCACAAGCCTATGAAAATAACAATAACTTGCTTGTCGCTTTCTGGAAGAATACTATCGTTAACACACGTTATCATGGCAATCTTCACTAATCAAACTACATATCGTTTTTTTAGCCCTAGGGCGTGAGCGGGTTAGGTTACGGAACTCACAGACAACTTTTGGCCTTCATTCATTACGGCTTCTGTCAGCAGCCCTAAAGCGAACTCGTCCGGTGAGCCAATGTGTGCTGGTGAGCCCACCCAAGACAAAATTTACCACTACAAGTAAAATCCTGTGAAGGTATGCTGTTCACCTAATTGTTAAATATAGGAATGGTTTTTACAGTTGAAACCGGATATTCGCCGGTAAGCGAATCTGGCCTAATATTTCCGCACCGACCAACCAGGCATTCTGAAACTGGAAACAAAAATTTAATAGAAATATGGTTAAGGTTCGGGCACTCACTTATGATGAACATGGTCTGTTTCTATTCATCTTCAAATGTGCACATTATCCCTTAACCCACACAATGTCTGTTGTCTAGTAGAAGCATTCTTCACGCGCTTCTAGTCTTTTGCACTCCATTTTCCGATGGATGCAGCGGATGGGAGGCCAGAAAGGGAATACTTACAAACGAAGGGGAAAAATATGCCAAGCTGAATGAGTGCAAACAAGCTGGGACTACGGACCTGTCCAGCACTTTGACTCATGTGTTCAACCATACCAATGCCAAAATCCCGGCGATTTCTAGAGTTTTTGAACCGGTTAGCTTCGCGCAGCTCGCTATCAAGACTATGACTGGCATCCGGAAGCTGAGAGCTGGTGCGGTGAACCCAAGCTTCTTCCACGGCAGCCGCTGGCCTTCGATCCTGAGGGGGGATTTGTTTGCGCAGGCGCCGTCGTCGAAGTCGGTCTGCTGCATCACCTCGGGGCACTTCGGAGGATGGGAGACTGCTAAGGAAACTGTCAACCTGTACAAAGAACCATGCAGATAAGGAGACCGTAAATTTTGTTATTCGAATAACACCCTGAAATAGAAACCACTGCAGACCCATTCCCCAAATAAGATTAATTAACTTCCACACTAGATGGCTTAAAGCTAAAAGCCTTAGCCCTTTTTAACCATTTTACGGTTGTCCATCTACTGTATTCCAGATATTTTATTCCATCCTCTGTGAAAGCCGTTCAAAAGTGACACTTTAACGGATGACCTCTACTATCGATGATAGGAGCTAGCGTGTTTCCTGTGCGAAAGCATTTGAAGGTAGGCGCAAGCATAAGCAGATAAACAATCCACTCGTACACGCACTTCGTAGAATGGGGAATGCTATCAACCAAAGTGAACAAACTCACTGTAGTAACGCTGCGACACCATGTTGAACTACTTCCGAATTGAAAAGATGACCACCAAATCCTGCTGACCCAGACACCAAGACAGATCACACACAAGCACTGATTTCGATTGAAAAACTATGAGACCTTTCTTAGGTGATTTGTATACGGTACTGGACGAGAGAAGTCGACTTTCGAATGTATGTTTCTTCTTGAGGAATGAAATATTAGCGCACTGGATTCATTGGAGCGGTAATTCACTATCCAACGGTCAGATTAATACGTGAACGTTCCTTCGTACAGGTGGAAAACGTACTCCTAAAAAAAACATGGCCCCTTAAAATTAAGGACCCTTTTCAGTAAGTGTTCCGTGATAGAGATGCATTCACACACTATCGAGACACAACATGTTGCTGGAGAAAATTGAAGCACGGAAGAACTTGAAACCCAGTAACCACCTTGACTAACCGGATAACCGAAACAGGCATTGCATCGTAAGATAACATCATGTAGTTGGTATAAACAGAAGCGGTCGAAACTAAACATAATGTACGAGTGATTTCTACTGTCACTATGGAAGCGACTTGCACACATCGCTGAGTGGCTTCATGTAAAGTTAGAATAATCCTCTTATGCACAACTAGGTAAACAAGAATGGACCATTGTTTCCAGTGAATTGTGACTATATCCCAAAGGGTCCCAAACATTCAAACGTGAGTAAATATTTGAGTGTGTAGGAACCAGTTTGGGCGTGGTCGACGCGGTATATGCATGCCTGGCGTCAGGCAATGAATAACTCACATATAAACATCTCAACTTGGAAGCATAAGTGATATAAGTAATCATCCAGAGGGGTTAGTGGTACACTTTATCAAGCAGCAGCGGTTTAACCGGTGATTGGACACTGGAAACTTGGTTCCCTTGAGTTTGACATAAGCGGTGTTCACAACCTTAGCTTGTCAGAAAGCAAACTGTTTCCCTTCTAAAGGTGACTGACCAGATGAACCGCAATTCCAAGACTGACCGGAGGAATTGGCAGTTAGGGAAAGCCCGTGAAATGGAAAAAACAGTAGTGACCGGAAATCGTACAGCTTGTCCACAATAATGGGCCAAGAAAACCACTGATCACTGAAGTCGCTACATGGAAATACAGTTTAAAGGTTAGTTGACCTGACGTGCCCAACACAATAACCAGCGCACCACCAGCTTCACAGGTGGACATGAACTATCGGATGCAAACCGAAGACAAAGTTGTTGTGTAGATTTAACAAACTACTCAAGGTTGCTGAAAACCGCTCAACAACCCACGATCGGTTTCATCCTTCTAGGGTCACAACAGGTAGACGCAGTCTCCGAATTTCCGTCATCTTGTGCTCTACTTGAAGATAAAGTTAGAAAACAAAATAGAACTCTTGATGAGAAAGCATCCAGTTCTGAACGCCTACCTTCCATTATCAAAGGAGTAAGAATGGGATGACGTGTTCTGTGCACCAGAAACATGAATTCAAGATACAAGCACAAAGGTTGATCAAACCACCCCATCACTCTCGATTCGCTTCCGGCTGCGCATCTCTGGTGATGCAGAGGTCGCTGTGGCAGGATGTGCGGGGTTTGGTATGGTGCTAAGTCAACTTTATTGACTGGGTACCTGTGTGGTTCGTCTAGCAACGTCCGTTAAGGAGTTTCACAGAGGAAAGTTGATCGGTGTCTGTTTGTCGTATCCACTTACGCCCCGGCGGACTGTAGCTCAAACACAATTTTTATGACGCCCTGAATGCCCTGTTGCGGAGAGCTAAAAGCTCAGATATCTTATCGGTTGCCCGAGATCTGAATGCACAAATGGGCTGTCTCAGTGCATCTGAGACTCACTTAGGTTGTCGACATGGAGTGGACTCGGTACGGACAATGGTGAAGGGTTGCTCCAAGTGTGTGTTGACCGCAGCCTGTTTTTATGCAGTATTAACTTCCGAAATAACCTACGTCGTCTGGCCACATGTCCTCCAACGGCGTGCCAGCTAAGAACTCAAATCGACCACATAGCCATCAGTTACTGACGACGCGACTAATAACTGACTACCGCCCGTTTTGGAACAGATTTGTGGATTCCCGCGACGCGCTCGTCCGGAGTCACTTCTCCCTTCGTTTCCCAGGGCCGCCTAAGGTGAGGACAAATCATTTGGCGACTGAAAAACTGGAAGATCCGGATATCAGAGTTTACCAGAATCGTCTTCCAGTCTCTTCTAACTGCTTCACCACTAGATGTGAATTCATGCTGGAATGAGATCGCCACAGCATAAACGAGAGATTCACTTGAGTCTCCCGTGAAAACCAAACTGATTTGAAAATGAGTGTAGTTGTCGAGATCGCCACCTCTTTACACAGAGAAATGTCCCCAACTGCTCCGAACATACTTCCGCCCGACGAATTATCAAATATCAAGTGAAAATGCGCCCCAATCGTGAAGTCCGGTGGACACGAAGGGTTACGGATACGGAAGTGGCTCGGAAACCGGGGAATGTCCGAATATTTCACTTTATCCGTGCAACCGGTCACCGGAAATCACCTATGAGCAAAACCATGAAGGATGCATGGAGCATCATCATCATCATCATCGACAGCATGTCAGTGTTCAACACCGATGCTTCACTGCCGTACAACCATGACTTAGTTGAAAGCCTTATTGTAAAGTAAAGAGTAAAGGTGGACGGGGAAGGGACTTAGTGCTAATTTGCAACAGGCATTCCGAGATGCCTACACCTCCAGACAT